TTTGTGATCTATAGGATTTTCATTGGCTGATTTTGGGAAGTAGATCACCAGACTTTTCTTCCTAGTCTATCTTAATCTAGAACCTCTGCTGAACCTCTGTAGCATCATAGCAACATACAAACCTCCACTAACAGGTGAAAATTGTATAGGAATTCCTACCCTGAAGGTGATGATTCTGCCACTGAACCACTCCTGATCCCTGCAACACTCCAGCCCCATGAAGCAAGTAAATGAAGAGTAAATGGCATGAAAGAACTTGTCAAGGCTCTTTTAGTTCTACTTTTTTTATTTTCAGGCAGGAATATGTTCGTCTGTTTGCACCACGAGACTACGTTCTATGTAAAAGAATGAAAAGCTTTATGGCAGTTCAGAGAAGCCTAAGCTGGGAAATAGAAATCATTCTGAGACTCGACCGGGGGATGAACTCTACATATCTTTAGCAGACCTCTGAGGGGATTTCACAGTGCCTAATATGGTTTTTTTTATTAAGATTAGCATTTCAACTGCATTTTGGGCTTTCAAAACTCATTTTCATAATTTCCTCTCACCTGCCACTGTCTGCCCAGGAGCCATTTGAAGTAGGGGGTGTAACAAGTGACCAGGCTCACAGCCACATTCTTGAGAGAAGTGGGGCACCAACAATCCCAGCAGCGATGGGCCGAGCAGCTGCCATCTCTCCAAGCCTTCCCTCACAGATTCGGTTCCGATGTAGCGGCATCAGTGCAGGCTCTCCTGGGAGGGGAGTTGTAAATAACAGCGATGACCTGTCATTTTTCACCTCTTTGGCTGTGAAATTTCCAAGTGGAGAATTTACACCAGCACTAAGAACCTCCTGATGGCTCCCCTTGAGGAAGTCCAACACTTTGCTTCTCTTCTCCTGGTTTTAAGAGTAACCTAACAATGACATGCTTTAAAAAAGTGCTTGTTTATTTTCACGAGGCCCATCTTTGCAATATTCCATTAGCAGTAAAGTACTCCTATTAATCCTCACACTTTAGAATGAGACATTTTGTGCATTTACTTGGTGTATAAAAATAGGCATTAGCTGGTAGCATGGAAGGATGTGAAGGTTAACCAGATTTCCTGTGCAGAAGCAGTGCCTCAGAGTGAAGGCTGTAAAGTGGCTAAACACACATATTCGCACACACATGGCAGTTTTGGTCCTAGGTTAATGCAAATTAAGCAACTGCCATTGGAAAAATACCAAGAGCAATATGGAAGTGGTGACCTCTTGATTGTTGCCTGTGTACATATTATATTTCATTTGCATGAATGCACCTTGGGTAAATTTTATCATGCAGACAGCAGTTGGCTTTATAGGGGAGACATTGTGTATTGGAATTTCCAAGTGTAGGATGTATAGAAGTGGATATTGTCTTAGAATAGATGAAACCAGTTATTAATTTAGGTAAAGCACACCACATTTGTCTACAGGACTGGATTGCTCTGGCTCACATGCCTCCACCAATTGCTCCATCAGATCCCAGGGGAATTTCAGGGTTTCTGTTGGTCAGTTTTCTGTCACATATCACTTACCCACAGAGAGGTTGGTTTACCACAGGTGTTGGAATTCTGGAACCAAAGTATAAGAGTATCTTTATTAACAACTTAAATCAAATGAAAATAAACTCTAAGGAGATGGTTACCGGTGGGGAAAAATGCTTAGAAGGAAGAGAACTTGACATGGACAGAATTTGAAGCAGGGTTGCAAAAGGACAAAAGCCACTGTTTTTGGAGATCCAGTTATCTTATCTGTGGCACTGTTAGATAAGCATTGAACTGCTTAGCACAAGGTTAGTGGTTCAAACTCACCAACTGCTGCTTGGCAGAAAAATGAGGCTTTCTGCTCCTGTAAAGATTTACAGCCTGAGGAACTCAATACAAGGTTACCAAGAGTCAGAACCAACTCCTTGGCTGTGGGTTTGGGTATGAGTGACCTTTACATAGAGCTAAGTAAGCGCTGGAACTGCCTTAGAAACCAAAACGCAGTGGACTTGGGTATGAGTTTCCAAACTGCATAGCAAATGGCAAGTTTACATGTTGTTCTTAAGTGTGCTTGAGTCAATTCTGACTCACAGTGACCCTCGTACAACAGAATGAAACATTGCCCACGCCTGTGCCGTCCCCATCTGTTCCTCTGCTCCAGCCCAGTTGTTGCAGCCACTGCATCCATCCATCTCTTTGAGGACCTGCCTCTTTCATGGCCCTTCTCCTTTACCAAGCATGTTGTGCTTCTCCAGAGGCTGGTCTCTTGATAGCATATCCAAAGTATGTGAGAGGAAGTCTTACACCTTGCTTCTAAGGAACATTCTGGCTATACTTCTTCGAAGACCTATTTGTTCTTTTGGCAGTCAGTGGTACTTTCAATATTCAATGCATCAAATTTTCATTGGTCTTCCTTATTCAGTGTCCAACTTTCACATGCTTCTGAGGTTATGAAAATACCATGGCATGAGTCAGGCGCACCCTAATCCTCAAAGTAACATCCTTGCTCTTCAACATTTGAAAGAGATCTTGTGCAGGAAACTTACCCTATGCAATGCTTCATTTGATTTCTTGACTGCTGCACTGATCGACATTGAGCATTGATTGTGGATCCAAGCAAGATAAAATCCTTGACAGCTTCAGTCTTCTCTCTGTTCATCATGATGTTCCCTATAGGTCCAGTTGTGAGGATTTGTGGAATTTGAATTGTTATTCATGCCAATTGCTGAAATCCTTGATCTTCATTAGCAAGTGCTAATAACGTCCATAGTATGTGATATGAAGTCTGGCCATCCTTTAACTTTATATACTTAGAGAAGTCTAGAAGATTCTTACTGAAGAATCTTCATACTATCTTCTCAAGGAAGATAGCATGTCTGTAGAAATAGCAGGTTAGCTAACTGCAGAAGTGGTGTGGTGGTAGAATCATCAGATCTCATCTAGCTTCATAAGTGGGAAGGAGAATAAAGAGCAACAGCCTAAGACTGATTGCTATTAGGTAGCAGTCAGACACACTGGTGCTCTTTAACCTTTTAAACAGCTCTGACACCAGCTGTGCCTCACTCTCGATTTCTCTGCTGGGTTTAATAATTCATTGCAATGGCCACACACAACTCACAGACAACACATTTATGATGTTTACTAAAAATGTAACAGATTACAATTTAGGATCAGAAATGACTCCGGATACAGTTCTTCTATTAGGATATACCCCTCCTTAGCTATGTTTGCAGGCAGGCCTCTCTCTGATCCTCAGTGCCTTAGAACTCTTGAGCTGACTTAGCCTCTGTTCTGCTTGGATTGGTGTTATAAAGCTCTTTAACACCACCTGCACCCCCACTCTGGTAGCAATGCTCCTGCCTGAAGGCACTTAGTTTCCTTGCTCTGTGGCCTGAGAGAAACCCACTGTCCTATCTCCTGCCCATCTCCTGGTTCTGTTGCTTCTGTTGCTGCTACTTTTCATTGCCTATCATAATCTCTGATTGTATAATGATAGCTCTCTTGAGTCTAAGAGGTTTCCAGCACAGGGACTTTGGGTCCAATGGATGCACTCTACTCTCATTTTAAGCCTAAAGGATGGTAAAATAAATCAATACTTTTGAAAGGTTCCATACAGCTTATTTGCATGGTTCTCTGCCACCCCCACTCCCCAAACAGGGTGTCACACACCTTACTTGCATTATTAATATACAGGAAAATCTTCTGGGTGGGCCACAAGCACCTTAATGTGTAGTTAAATTTGATGACTGTTACAAAACTATGGCTAGATAAGCCATATAGAAGCAGCCCATTGCACAGTAACTCCCCCTTCCGTGTGGACTTCACTGACTAATCTGCCCACCATCTGTGCCCAAGAATCAGACTTGGCTGTTACCAGTGTTTCCTGTGGCCACCATGATCAACAACCTCATCCCAGTGATTGATAGCATTTCTCTCATGGAGCCTGGAGAGAATCCTACACCTGCAGGTATCACCACCCTGCTATAGGGCACCTTCCAAAATGGCCTTGTTTTCAATTATCTTTAACATGGGCAAAGTTTCTCCAGTGATAGACCAGAGAATATTAAGATGACTTCGGCCAAGATTGTTCCACCAAACCCCGATTTCCATGAAAATCAGCCACACATCCAGGAAACTCTTGGTGTCTCAGTCTTAACACCCAGCCTCGAAAGGCTGAGTTCATGTCTCTCATCATCTTCTCTTTCAAATTTGTTCCACCGTTTTCATCCCTACATCTAATTATCCATCAGAAATCCTCTGTGCAAGGAGAAGCACAGCAGCGAAAGGC